TTAATTTTTAAAAATATAATATGAGAATGCTATATATAAAAACCTAGATATAAATACTTTTCTTGGACTATTTGAAGTATCAAAATTGGCTCTGTAAATGTTAAAACCTTTAAATGGACCAAAAAAAAAGGAAAACATTGTTCAAATCTTTTTTTACTTTGAAAAACAATTTAATCTATACCTGTTTTTATGATTGAATCAAATTATCAAAGAACATGTTTTACTTAAAATGTTAAATGTACACAGAAAAATATGGTAAACTTTCCAGTTCATGCCACAATTGTTACATAGTGGAAGCTAATGGTACTTTTTTCTAATATATAAAGAGGCTTGGGTTTTTGGTTTTGGGGGGAAGCAGGAGGGTTGCTTGTCTATTGTGTTTATTATTGTTTCCTTTTCTGTGCCATCAAATGATGTCATTGTTTCAGAAGCCTCAGTTCAAGTGTCCATTACTGGGGATGAGAACCTTTCAGACAAAAAACAGAAAGAGGATACCTTCAGTCAAGGGGGAAAGACTAAGACTGCCTGGCTTGAAGAACAAGAACCCTTGCAAAAAGACACTGCAGGTAACTCAATGGGCTTGTTGTTATACTTTGATCCTCTGGTCTTCTAAAATAAGACTATTCCTTTACAAATATAAACAGAAATGTATTCTCTAGTCTCTTCAATCCTCTGTCTTGCTAATATGTAAAACAGGACCTTTCTAGCCACATTTTGGTATGCTTCAACAGTTACAATTGGTATTTTTAAGACTCTTTGAGGTTTTACCTAATATTTAAATATAATACACAAATCTCATTCCTAGTTCATTCAATGGGCTTTTTCCTTTACTGGTAAAACATTTCAATGCCATGAGGTACTGATTTTCTAATACCATAGTTGTACATAGCGTTTGTTTAGGCATTATTGGTTTACTTCCAGATTACCTATGTAGTTATTTTACTTCAACAGGAATATGCTAATTAAAAATACCTGTAATAGTGTGAATACATTTGGCTTACCTTTGTCTCTGAGAACAAGACAGAAACAACATTGGTGCCTATTCTCTTCTGTTGCTCTATAACATTGCTGACCTTCATTCTCAAACTGTGGCTATCAGCCTATATTCTAGCTAACAGAAAGAAAAAGAAAAAAAGTATATTCCTTTCTTGGAGGGTACTTCTTAGAAGTTATTTTTACTACATACTCCCCTTATATCCTCTTGGCCAGGCTTAGTCACATGATCACACAAAGGTACCTTGCCAAGTAGGCTGGAAAATATTTTTGTTATGGTAAGTATATGCACAGCTAATGTTAGAGTTCTATATTTATTTGTTATTTAATATTTTAGGGAAGGGTATACAGGGTGTTCAGGGTCTCACTACTAGATTGGACTCATAGTGATCCGCCTGTTTACAGCCTCCCAAGAGCGGGGATTACTGGTGAATGCCACCACACACAGTATCAATTGCCCTCTCAGTATGCTTTGGGGGTGGGGCCAGCACAGCAGGCCTGGGGATCGAACCCCTGGCCCCTGTGCGTCCTTGCAGTGCTTTAATCCACTGCGCTATTTGGCCAGCCCTTAGAATTCTATATTAAAGGAAAAGGAAAACAGAAATTAGAAGACAGCTGGTATCGGTGCTACATTTATAAGCTGGAAACACATTTTAGAGCAAAATTAGCAACTTTTATTTATTGTGTCTTTTTTTGAGACAGGGTTTTGTTATGTAGTTCAAGTTGACCTTAAACTCATTTTGTAATACAGGCTAACCTCAAACTCATACCAATTCTCCTTCCTTAGCCTCACAAGTGCTCGGATTACAGGTATGTACTACCATGCCTGGCCTATATTTAAGAGTTAGCTACGTTCTGAGAAATATTACAGAATAGCTCAGTGGTCTAAGTGCCTGCCTGGCAAGCGCAAGGACCTGAGTTCTATCCCTGGTACCGCATGCTGTGCTGGCCCCAGAATCCCAGGTGCACTGTGCCAGCTAGTGAAACCAGGCATGGTGGCGCATGCCTGTAAACGCAGCACTGGGGAGGCTGAGACAGGAGGATTGCTACAAGTCTGAGCTGCATAATAGGACCTTGTACCAAATAAATAAATGAATGAAAATAAATGAATATATCCCTTTGTTATTATTGCTGAATGAATATTCCAGAAGGTTTTTATCTCTGTTGCCCTTAACAGTAAAATCTAAACTTCTTTAGCATTCTCTTAGAACACTAGCACCAACTCCCAATCTTTTTAATACTAGTTCTCACTTCTTTTCCTTATAGATTCTACAATCAAATATGCAGTGTATATATTCTGTCTCTTAGCAGAGCTTATCTTCTCCTGATTCCCATATTTGTAGCCCTTTGCCTGAAACGGCTTTTCCACCTCAGGTGTGTCCCATTTTCTAACACCCATCAGTTCTCTAGAGTTCTTATAATTCTTGATTAGTTTTTGTCTGTGTGTACTTAGAATTTTTTATCTCTCTCATGATATTTTTTTAAACTTTGTACGACATCTATTAATATAAATGTTCTTTTTTCTCCATTTTAGGCCAATTTTCTAACAAATTTCTGATCTTTTTATTTTTTCAGCACCAGTACCAGTGCCTTCACATAGTAGATGCTTTAGAGGCATTTTAAATATTGTTTTGTCAAGTTGCTATTGGTGATGTTACTTTTCCTCTCTTAGGTTCCAGTGATGCTACTCCTGCTGAGCACACAGCTCAAGTACAAGGTGCAAAGGTTGAAAACCTGTCAGACAGTAAAGCCACTAAACAGGAGATTGATATTAAGGCGACCATTCATAAAGAGGCCTGGACAGAGGAGAAAGAATCCTTACACATAGATATTTCAGGTAATTGTCTGTGTGTCTGTCTGTCTGTGTATCTTGAGTGTCAATGTCTATGTGTCTCTATTTTATTTTGATGAAAATACAGCTTCATGATTTAAATAGGTCATTCTTTATAATGTGTAAGTCATTTTAATGCTGCTTTCTTTTGTCTGTTTGGATGCACATATTGGTTTTTAAAATAATTTTTTATTTCTGGGAAAGGTATAGTAATTTAGAAAAAGAATTATAAGGAAATAGAGTTGGTCCTTTGTATCCATGGTTTCTATACTTTTGCAGCCAGTTCTAGGTCAGAAGCATTTGAGGGAAAAATTATATCTATTTTGAACATGTACAGACTTTTCCTTTGTTTAGGTTATATGCAAATACCTCCCATTTTATACATATATATGTATATGTATGTCTCTCTACTTATCTATCTCATATGCACTTTATATTCTTATTTTATATAAGGTAATTTTGGCATCTGTGGGCAGTTCTGAAAGATACTAATGTCTCAGTACCAAAACAAGGAAAATAATCCAATATAGTCCAGTAGTCCATAATAGTAGTGGGTTATCCATAGGACTGGCACTGTCAGAAGTTGTTGACTTGACCCTTTTACAGTTCAGCATATTAATATGGCTTTACTTTTCATACCTCATTTTTATACTTTCATGCTGGATGGTTAAGACCAAGATACTAAGCAAGACCTATATAACAAGAAATATAACTTTTGTATCTGACAAGGTCAGTCAAATCCCCTCATGATTTATCCTGAAACCCTGTACCCCTGTTTGCAGATCCTTTGTCAGTGTCAAAGTCACAGCCATTGCTTGACCAATTTGCTCACTGTGAAAGCCTGAGAGAATGTTTTCTCTCCATGAGACTCTCCTTAGGCACAGTCTACTTCATTGATCACTTTCCTCTGTGGCCCCATAATCTCCTTAGTCAGAAAATTTGGGCCACAACTGAGTTACAGGATGTTATAGTACAGATTCTCCTATGTCCTGAGTCCTCACTGACCTTGAAAGACTAGGGCCAAAATGTTGGCTGTCCTTGCAGTCGTTCTTTTTCTCAAATTTTTGGTCTGCAAACTTAAGTTGTTAACCCTCCAGAAGAAAAGCTTTTTTTTTTTTTTTGAATCAGGGATTGAACTCAGGCTCTTGTGCTTGCCAGGGAAGTGCTGATTCTACTGAGCCATGTCTCCGGCCCCATAGAAGAGAAGCTTAATGATATTATTACACTATAACATAGGCACTTGAGCTTAGCCTCACTCTATCTATCTGAATATCAAACATCTTAGACATAGCATGGAACAGGTATTTTCCATCAAGTATTGTTAAATTAAACTTTAAATCCCTACAGGATATGAAGAAAAAAAGTATTTTAAAAGATAGGAATAAACAATTACATATTTTTATACAGAAATTTAGAAATCTAAGCATATACAGCATTGTAGCAGGATAGTCCTATGACATCTTTTTTTCTTGTCTCTTGCAGACTAAAAAAAAGGGGATACAAATGAAGGACCATTTTGTATCTGTATATACAAAATAGGATAGATATACAGCTACTTTCTCTTAATTCAATGAGAAGAAAGATTTGTACTAATAGTGTTTGGACAGGATATCATGTCTGCATCTTATACTATGAATAACCACTATGAAGACAACATTATGCAATATATTATTGAAACTGTCCTATTGATCGGTTTTGAAACTGTCTCATTGCTCTTTGTTTCTCAGTAAAATTAATTAAAAAAGAGAAGAAAAAAAAAAATCCCTGGCATGCCAGTCTGTCTCTGCCCCTGGCCCCAGGGTACACTGAGACTGTAATTGAGAGTGGGTAGACCCTGCCCTAAATACAATACAAAAAACAAAACAAAACAAAACACATGTATAGGTACAGTATTTAAAAGAATAAAATTTACCTCTAAAAGAATTAAGCTCTAAAACATAAGTAAAAGAACAGAAAGTACATTTGTAACAAAAAATAAAATGGAAGCAGACCTAAAATATGATTGTAGCCAAAGTAGTACAATATTTCATTTTGATTATAGCCAACCTAGTATCTCATTTTGCCTTGATTTGCACTTTCTTCATGACTAATAACATTGAGCATGTTTTCTTAGGTTTATTATCTAATTTTATTTTCTTTGGCAAAATGTCAAAACAGATGCTGGCCTGGTTTTTAATTAGGTTGTGTTTTTATTATTAGGTTATGAGACTTCTTTAGTATTCTAGCTGTGTACCCTTTATCAGATACATGATTTGCAAGTATTTTATCCTATTCTGAAACTTATCTTTGTGTGTGTGTATTGCTGGGGATTGAACCTAGGACTATATCCACAGCATAATTTTTCTTGATAGTATCCCTTTGAAGGAAAACTTTTTAATTTTAGTTTATCTTTTATTGTTCATGTTTTTGGTATCATAGCTAAGAATTCTTTAGTAAGTCCTCGGTCATGAACATTTATATCACTGTATTTTCTCCCAAGTATTTTATAGTTTTAGCTTTTACGTTTAGATCATTTATCCATTTTTTAGTTAATTTATGTGTGTGGTATAGGGGTTCAACTTTATTCCTTTCCATACGAATATCTAGTTGTCATATACCTATCTGTTAAAAAAAGCATTTTGTTTACTGAATGGTCCTTTCATACCTGTACTGAAAATTAGTTTACCACAGATGAATAATTGTGTTTCTGGACTGTCAGTAATAGTCTGTTGACTGATACATTTATCCTTATCACAGTATGTCTAACTTACTTTTCTCTTGTTGCTAAGACAAAATACCCAACACCAGAATTTAAAGGGGAAAGGTTTCTTTATTTCACAGTTTGTAGTGATTTCAGTCTATAGTTGACAGGCTCCAAGGCAGAGTGGCATGTGGTAGACTGGTATCAGAGAATAGGACAGTTCATGGCATGCAGAAAAATAGTAAAAGCAACAAGTGGCCTTCACAGTATCTATCTGCTACTTATGCTGTATCCAGGTTACTGGGATTGGGTAGTATTAAACCAATCAGTAGACTCATACAGTAATCACCTACCCTCAATCCTAGCATTGTACTGTGAATCAGTCTCACACTTTAGATCCTTCTGCCTCTAAAATAGCCCCACCTGACTGTACAAAGCTTTTAGGGGGTATCTAGACACAAGCCGTAAGACAGCACCATTCTGTCTTTATTCAAGAATAAAAAATAAGTGTTTTTTTTGTTTTTATTCTTTAATCAAGAATAAAAAATAAATGTTTTCAACTATTGTTTAGTAGTAGGCTTTGAAATTGGAAAGTGTGAGTTCACTCTCTTGCTTTATTTTTCAAAATTGTGTTGGCTCTTTAGGTCCCTTTTAATTCCACATGAATTTTAGAACACCTTAGCAGTTTCTACAAAATAGCAAACTGTGGTTCTTAATAGGGATTGTTTTAAATCTGAGGAATAGTTCGAAGAGGTATTTCTTTCTTAATGTTAATACGTTTTTCAGTCTATACCATGGATGTTTTCCATTTATTTAGATTAATTTTTTTGTACCAGGGATTGAACTCAGGATCTTGCGCTTGCCAGGCAAGTGCTTATTCTACTGAGATATCTCCCCAGTCCTATTTAGATTAATTTTACAGCATTGCTTTTTAGTTTTTGGACTGTAAGTTTTTTTATTATTTGCTAAATGCATTTTAAGTACTCAATTTTCATATTATTTGATTAGAATTGTATTTGGACATAGGCATTTAATTTTATAATTCTGTATGTGTTAGTAAATTAGCATATAGTATACATATATTTGTAATATTCATACATGTGTATAACTACATAACACAGTATATAGTTTTGCTTCTGTTTTGTATGATGAAGATTGCCAGACTGAGTAATTAAAACTACATTTGTATGTGCCTGTATATATTTGACATATATCCATATTCACGTTTTTTGCTTGAGCTAAAACTATTTTAATTTGATTTTCAGCTAAATTAGTGTAAGTATAAAATTAATTTTCAAACTTTTGTTTTCTGAACTCTCATTCAACTTCTAGTTCTAATAGCTTTTTATGGATTTTTTTAAAGGAGGCTAGAATACAATTCAGTTTGGTATGTTTAAGGTTTGCGATGGCTATAGTATCCAAGTAGATATATGAAATACATAGATGAGCATATGAATTTGGGGCTCAAGAGAGAAGTCATAGCTTGAAATGCAAATCTGAGAGTATATCAGCATCCCAAGAAGAGATGAGGTCATGTAAAGGAGAACATAAAATAAGAACATTTCCCAGAGTTGTGTTTGTGTGGAGGTCATTAATCATATTAGTAAGAGTAGTTTTAGTCTGGTGGTATGGCTATACTTGGGAGTAATCTGAAAACTACATTGGGGTAGAAAAAGAGATAAAGGAGAAGAAAAAGCCTTTTTATAAGACCACTGATGACTTCTTTACAGTTTCATTGGGGATTTTTAATGTGGATTTGAAGGGCCACAAACATTTAAACTGTAGTAGATAAGGTATGATTGTATTAGAAAATAATACTTTTCATATATAGTGATTATTAAAAAGTAAAGCTTGAAGGTGGTATAATTTTTTTCTTCCCATACATGTACTTGGTACAGGGTCTCACTATGCAGCTTGGACTCATAGTGATCCTCCTGTTTTCACCTTCCTCAGTGCTGGGATTGCAGACATGTGCCGCCATATCCAGTCTTGGTGGCCTGCTCAGCAGGCGGGGGGTGGGGGGGTGGGGGGGTGGCAGGGCCGGCATAGCATGTGATGCCGGTGACTGGCACAGGGTGTCCTTGTGCTTGCCTAAGCAGGCGTTTAGTCCTCTGAGCTGTCTTACTGGCCTTTATGTTATATATATTTTATTACAACAACAAAAAAAATTGGAAGGCCTATCAGGCATGATACTTTGGATTTGATCTTTAGCAGTAGAGAAAAAGGAGTGGTGGTGAGGATGATTCAGAGAAAAGGACTTTTAAAGAAACTTTTAAAATATGTAAAAAAAAAAAAAAAGACTTTTCATTTCATGCATATATTTATTGATGATGAAAATGAAATGTCAGGTTTTTTAGTTAAAAATGGGGTTACTAGTACTCGTCTCCGTTTCATCAGCAGTAACTTTTTTATAAAAGAAATACACATACAATTATTCCGCACATATAGCAGTGGGTGAGTGTTTACAGCAACTGATCTTTCTAATGATCTGGAAAACTAATTGTTTCCTTGAGGCCACAGAGCTGGCCAGTGGCAGAATGCAGCCCAGGAAGTTTTTTGACCCAAGGTCTTTTAATTTGACTCTGCCAGTCTGGCTACTAAGCGCAAACCATGAGTCTTTTGTGCAGGCAGTGCATTTTCTGAAACTTTATGTAAGTTTCTGTTTCCTTCAATCTTTGTTCTATATCTGAAGAACTCAGTACAAATAGTATTGCTGATGGGAATACAAATGTTAAATTCTTTCAAAATGTTTTTGTCTCCTTTTCAGAGTCTGAATGTCATTCTGAATTTGAAAATACTACTCATTCTGTCTTCAGGTCAGCTAAGTTTTACTTTCATCATCCAGTGCACCTACCAAGTGATCAAGATACTTGCCATGAAGCTTTGGGAAGGAGTGTTTTCATGAGACAGTCTTGGAAAGATATTTTTCAACATCATTCAGACAAGCATAAGGAACACACTTCTCTTTCTCCCTCTTATCAAAATGTGGACAAAACTAAGACCGATTATACTAGAATAAAGAGCCTCAGTATCAATGTGAACTTGGGAGACAAAGAAGTGATACATACTACTAAAAGTCAGGGCAGAGATCACCCAAAAAGTAGCATGCAGATTAATGATTCACAAAAGGACTGTAAGATCACCTCAGAAATAATGACTCAGCACACTGTAAGTTTGAATGAACTCTGGAACAGGTACCAGGAGCGACAGAGGCAACAGAAACCACCTGATGTCAGTGACAGAACAGAACTATCCTTAGTGGAACGACTTGATCGGTTGGCTAAGCTTCTTCAGAATCCCATCACAAATTCTCTCCAGGCCTCAGAAAGTGTGCAAGATGATAGCAGAGGGGAGCGAGAAATAAAAGAATGGAGTGGTAAAGAGCGGCAGAGAAAAAGCAAACTTCAGAAGAAGCAGTATAAAAGTCCAGAGAAGGGGCATAAAAACTTAGGTGATCTTAAAAAACACAAGGTACTTTCTGGTCACCAGACTGGAGGCCCCAACCAGATCAAAATTGAACAGATTAAATTTGATAAATATATTCTGGAAAGACAGCCATGTTTTAATTCTGTCAGCAACACATCTTCAGATTCTAGGCCCTCAGAGGAAAGTGGTTTACTCACAGAAACTCCTACCAACATTCTTTCTACCACCACTTCTGCGGACTCAGATATATTGACCCAAACAGATAGAGAGGTGGCTTTGCACGAAAGGAGCAGCTCCATTTCCACCATTGACACTGCCCGATTGATCCAGGCTTTTGGCCATGAACGAGTATGTTTGTCACCGAGACGAATTAAATTATACAGTAGCGTCACCAACCAACGGCGGAGATACCTTGAGAAGCGGTGCAAACACAACAAGAAAGCACTCAATACAAGCCATCCCCAAATGACTTCTGAGCACACCCGAAGGAGGCACATCCAGGTACATGGCTACAGATTCCATCTGGCAATGTGACTGCTTTTTTAAATGGACTTTTAGTTCATCTCTGCACATAGGTGAAAAAAAAACAACAAACCGCTTGCCCTTTCCTCTCTATAACATTTCTTACCAACTGGAAAAGAGTGAGAAAGTGTAGTACAGTGCTATTGTGAGTTGTCATTCTTTTCATCAACACTTATTTACCAATTACCCCTCAAATTAAGGGGTTTGCTGCTAGATGCATCAGAATCTGCAAAATATACCCCTGACGTCAGAGAGCTTCTATTTTAGAATAACCTGTATTCACAACTATATTGTCTAGTTTTTGTTTTTATTCTTTCCTCTGGTCTTTCAAGAAATATTTCAGGTGCTTTTAAATACACACAGTACAATTCTTTATAAAGCAAATGAACAGTTGGGATAGAGAAGTTAAAACTGGGATGAACTATAATATGATTTTTTTAAAAATAAAGGGAGCTGGAGTGATAGTTCAGTGGCATAAGCACTTGCCTTGCAAGTGCAAGGTCCTGAGTTTGATACCTGGTACCACAAAAATAAATACAGATTAATAAATGTGAGTGACGGAAACATTAAAGCCAGAAAGGACATCAATACAATATACCGGGTAGATGTATATGCTGGAAGTTAGCTACAGATTTGGTATTCTGTTTTAGCACATAATGTTGCTAGTATTTTGTTATCAATAACATTGCAAGAAAGGAAACCAAATTTTTAAGAGCATTACAGATATTTCTGGTACAGGCATCTAAGGGATATTATTTCATCTGTCTACAAAGAAGGCATGTAGCACATGTAGCAGTCTTCCATAGCCTCCACACAATAGATTCTATAGCAAATAGATTAGAAAGTGAAGGCAAACCTCAAGGGGGATACAAATGCAGATCATTGCTTTACCCAAGAACAAAATTTAGAGTACCCACGCAAGGGAGTACTCTTCAAAGATAAATGCTATGTGCATAGAGTATGGAAAGAAAAGTGTTAGAATTTATATTCATTTTACTCAACCTTTTAAAATTTATTTTTGTATATTTTATATGAATACAGTATCTGCATAATTTATAAACTTATCTATTTTTGGCAATTTGTGCTAAAAATATTTTGTCAGTAGGAGTGAATTATCAGAATTTGGAGAACACCATTCTAAAGGAGGTGTGAGATACACAGTTTACCATAAGTAGTATTTCTCATAATGCTTTAGGTAGGTATTAAATGTCAGTCATGGACTACATATGTTATAAACATTTTTTAAGTAATGAATTCAAAATAACACAGACATAAAGATGTATAGAATATCAGAGTAGAAGGTGTGTGTGTGTGTGTGTGAGAGAGAGAGAGAGAGAGAGATAAAATACACAACATAAAATTTATCATTTTGACCATTGTAAACACTTCAGTGGCCCGCCAGATAACCCAGTGAATTAAAGTGCCTGCTTAGGCAGATGCAGGTTCGATCCCCAATGTGCCATGCCGGCCCCAGCCTGGGGGTGTGCTGAGAGGGTGATTGAGACCGGGTGTGGTGGCACATGCCTGTAATCCCAGTGCTTAGGAGACTGAAAACAGGATCACTATGAGTCTGATCTGTGTAGTGAAACCCTATAGACCCTGTACTAAGAACATTTTTTTAAAAAACTTGTATAAAGTAAGCACTTCATTGTCATATTTATACAGTTTTATAACCATCACCACTATTTAGTCTCAGAAACTCATTACCTCATGGAAACCTATATCCCTTAGGGAGTAACTCCTTATTTCCCCTTCCAACCAACCTCTGGAAATCACTAGTCTACTTTCAGTTTCTCAGTACTTAACTGTTTTGTGTAGTCTTGATTTTTATATTAGTCTTCTTTCCTGTATCCATCTTTTTTCCATTTATTTTTTTTCCCCATGACTGCATTGTTTTATATTCGAAGTAGCAATGCGCAAGGATTTCAGTCTCACCATATTCCTGCCAACAATCATTTCTCCCCCTTCCTCACCCCCATAGCTGTGCGAGGTAGTGCATCATTTTAGTTTTTGGTTTATATTTCTGCAGAGATTAGCCATGTTGAATTGGTTTTTTATGTGCTTATTAGCCATTTGTATATCTTTGGAGAAATGCCTTAAGTTCATTAACCTTTATGAGTCTGGCTATTTAGTTTTAGTTAGCTGAGCTGTAGGAATTTTCTATATATTCTTTATATTTTAGCACTCCATAGATTGTGTTTTGTGCTATCCTTAATTGTTCTCTTTGACTTAGTTTTTTATTTTGATATAGTCCTACTTCCTTTTTTTGTTATCTGTGCTTTTGGAGTCCTATCCAAGAAATCACAGGCAAATCTAATGTCATAAAGGTTTTTACCAAGTGTATAGCTTTTTCATTTAGATCTTTGATTTATTTTGAGTTCAGTTTTATAGATGATGTACGGTAAGGGTTTACCCTCTCATTTGCATGTGGATATCCAGTGTTTGCAGCCTCATTTGTTGAAGAGATTGTCTTTTCCCCTATTGAATGTTTCTTGGCACTCATGTCAAAAATTAACCATATGTAGGCTTTCTGTTCTAGTCTATCTGTTGATCTTTATGCTAGTACTATGCTGTTTTGACTTACTGGATCTTTGTAATAGACTTAGCATGAAGTGTTCTTTTTTCCGAATTGTTTTGGCTGTTCGGAGTCACTTTGAGTTTTATTTGACTTGTACTTAATATTTTGTTCTGTTCATATAGGATTGGAAGTACAGTTGCTTTCTTAATTTCATTTTGGCTTATTGCTCATGTATAGATGTATAGCTAATATTTGCATGTTTACCTTGTGTCCTTGTTGGATTCTTCAGAATTTTCTACAGATAAAATCCTGTCACCTACAAATATATTTTTATTTCCTTCTAATTTGAATTCTTACTTTTATTTTCTAATTATTCCAGCCAGAATATCCTATGTAGTATTGCAGTAGAAATGCCAAAGGCAGACATTCTTGTTCATGATCTAAGGGAGAACACTTTCAAGCTTTTGCCATTGAGAAAAATATCAACTGTAGATTTTTCACATGTGATTTTTGTCCTGAGGAAGTTTCATTTTTCTAATTGAATGAATTTTTTTAAAGAGTTTAGTTTTTATGAAATGCTTTGGAGCTTCTATTGCTTTGTTCACCTAGGGTTCCCCCTGTTTTTTCTGTTAACATAAGGTATGTTTATTGACTATATCGTATTGAACCAATCTTGCATTTCTGAAATAAGCCCCACTTGATCATGTTAGTCCTTTTCCTAAAGGATTTTTCTCATCTCTAATCATAAAAGATATTAGTAGTTTTCTTATCCAAGTACCCTGGCCTCACTGATGTTAATGTTTGATACTCATTCTTTAAGTATGTGATACACTTCACCAGTGACACCATCAGGCATATACTTTTCTTTGGGAAAGATTTTCTTATAACTGATCTAATCTCTTATTTTAAATATATTCAGATTTTCTATTGCTTCCACTTTGTGCCTTTTCTTTTGTCATTGCTAAGACATAATACCCGGCACCTGAAGTTAAGGAAAGATTTATTTGGCTCACAGTTTGTGAAAATTTCAGTTATAATTAGCTGGTTTCAGGGCAGGATGGCATGGCAGAGAAGCATCACAGAGGAGAAAGAGTCCAAAGCAAAGTCGGGCTGGCAGAAAGTAGTGAGCAGCAACAAACAATGATACCAGTCCTCTTTCCGTCCCTTATATTTTATCCAGGCCACCTGCCCTCAGTCACACCCATGGTGGAACACCCTTAATCATACCCAGAACTATGTCAGATCAGTAACTGGACTAATTTACTAATCACCCCAGATCCAGCCATCTCTGAAAAGCATCACCTGTGACCCATGAGGCTTTGGGGAGGCCATCTAAATATAAGCCATAATATTTTATATGTAATGTAGTTCTTGGAATTTGTCTGTTTTTCTGGTCTCTTTCATTCACTTAAACTGTAGTCTTCATTTCCTTTGCTTGTATTGGCTTAGTTTCTTTTTTCTAATTCCTTTTAGCTTAAAGTTAGGTTATTGATTTCAGATTATTCTTTTGTGACTTTTCCTTCTGAGCATCACTTTCACAGACATAAGTGTCCTAAATTTGTTTTCACTGTATCCTGTGTTTTAGTATGTTTTTCATTTATTTAAATTATTTTCAAATTTCCTGTTACATTTTCTTTGACCGTTTGGTATGTAAGACCATGTTGTTGAGTTTCCATGTATTTATGAATTCACCAATTTGCCTTTTATTAGTGGTTTGTTTTTATGCCACTGTAATTAGAGATAAACTTTGTATTAATTCATTACTTAAATATATTATGCCTTTTATGCCTTAATATATGGTCTGTCTTAGAGAATGTTCTGTGGGGCCTTAAGAAGAATCTATATTCTAGTCTTGTTGGTTATAGTATTCTGAATATATATTGTGTGTAGTTGGTTAATAGTATTGTGCAAATCTTCTATTTTCTTGTTTGTCTTACTTTTCTATCCATATTGGAAGTGGGACATTACTGTGGAATTCTTTCTGCATTTAGTTCTATCACTTTTTAGCCATGTATATTTTAAGGATTCATTGTAAAATGTATGTATGTTTGTAAGTGTTATACATCATGAGTTGACTCTTTTATTAGTATAAAATCCCTTTCTTTTTCTCTTGCAACCATTTTAAACCTACTCTTGTCTATTATTAGGATAGCTACCTTAGCTCTGGTCGGTAGCTAAATAATAACTTTAGTTTTGGTTATTATTTATTGGGTGTGTCTCTATCTTTTTATTTTTAAACTCTTTGAATCTTTGGATCTAAGTGAGTCTTTTTGAGATATAGCTAATCATTTCTTTTTTTTTTTTTTTTTGCACTACTGGGGATTGAACTCAGGACCTTGCACTTGCCAGGCAAGCGCTTACTCTACTATCTTTCCGGCCGAAGCTGATCATTTCTTATGATCCTTTCTGTCATTTCTGTCTTCTAATGGTCAGTATAACCTATTTATAGTTAATCACCCAT